TGCGGTTTCTGCCGGCTGCTTTTAAAACGTCTCCCCGGCTAAATTGCTATTAATACCTTTCCCGGAAATTTAAAGGTACCGCCTGATTACGCAACATATAATAAATTGTTTGTATATAAGCTTATCTTCTTTTTATTATTTTTAAGTGCTGAATTATATTACATCCCGCGACATGTAATGATTACGTTCTACTTTGTAATTTATGTGTTTCTAGTGTAGCGAAATTAACATGAGGTTAGCCATTAGGCTAATTATGACGGCTTTCAGGAATCGGCTCTGTGTGCGGCGATAGTTAAATGAAAGCTTTCCGGAGGGGGAGGCTTTTTAATATTATCGCCGTAATTCTTTCCGAGCGTTCTCCAGCATTCGGACAACAATTATTAATTCCACATGCAGTCTGCAATCCATCTCGGATATCTATGGATTTTTACGAGAAATCCGATAACGTTATCACTCGCGTGTGTTTGCGTAATGCGATGTTTTTTCGACGTCATAAAATTCCAGCTGATCTCCCATTAGCAGAGGCATCGCGAAACGTCGGCATCGTCGATGTTTGCCTTTGATCTCGACGAATGCATCAAATGCATACAATCGCGAGGGCGGATGAGCGCTCGCGCGCGCGCTCATACCCGCCCATCGACGTAATAATAACCGCGTGTAATCGAATCGGCAACGCTAATTTCGGTAATGGCCATATTCCGCCGGGCAAACGAACGGAAGAGCGGTTGACTCGTTTCGGCCGGCGCGGCGTTCGCACACTCGCACACCCGCGCACGCGCGCGAATTGTAATTAAGTGCGCGGCGTCGTTATCTTTTATACACACGCACATGTCGCACGTATACAATTATATTATTATACCGTGATTGCCTGCCGCGCGAGGACCAGCGGAAGGGGGAAGCGGGAGGGAATGTCGTTTCGCGCTTTATCGGCGCGACTTTTCACGCGACGGCGCGCCGCGTTTAATAATTCGTCCGCGAAGATCGAATTGTTTCGCGCTAAATTGACACAGGCGTGTTGAAGCAGCGGACGCCCGCGGGGCGATTTCGCCATTTCGCAAGCTACGGATTACCGTGGATTCCATTAATATACGTACGTCGAACGCGCGCCCACCCCGGGCCGGCGTTATTTCCGCGAAAATACAACGCGGCGGCCGCGTGCACGCGCACAAAATTAACGCGCATATTACACTTCGGCGAAAATAATCTTGTCCCGAATGCGAAGGTAATTCAATGTCCGCGTTAATAATTTCCATTTGAATGCCTAATCGCGAATATATAGTAGGTATTACAAGACATTCGAGATAATGGAAGAGCCTTCGTGTGTAGGTAATGATAAGCATATTTTTTACAAGTCAATGATGCCAGATGTTACGCAAGGACAATGGGAGGAATATATCGTGCACTTGCAATTTTGCATAGAACTCGTCTATTTCAGGCGCACGCGATACTGCTAATTAAAACTCCAAGCTCTTTTATCCCGGGTAACATCTTGTTTGTTCAACGTTAAAATTCACCCGTCTTCCTCAAATGTCTCCTCGACGTTATACGTGTTGTCTCAGTAATGTTAATTGCCAACGAGAGCTCCTGTCTAATCAAATTGGCCTCAAGCGCTTACGAGGTGGTATCATGCGCACATCTACGTAACCATTTCGCCCGCAGCATTTGTCGAGCCCCCGAAAAACACTGTGCAACAATAATTGCAGTATCGCACCGTCGAAAATAGATCTTGCAGCGCGTAGACGTATTTAGGTATTCCGAGTACAAAAACGGTACGTAAAATGAAGTATTATTAGATATTCGTAACACGTTCATTATATCAGCGTCGCGACCGTTATAACTTTGCACTCTACTTCTCAACCAAGCAAAGTATACCGCCATCGAATAAAACCTATTTTTTAGAAATCCTGTTTGTAATGTCAAGAGATTTCTATTTCTAACGTTAACGTGACGTGCAACACGAAAAGATGCTCGAAGGAATTAAAAATATGCATGTAAAATATATATTAACGCGCATTAAGATGCACGACAGGTAAAAATATAAAATAGTATCACATCTTGAAATCTGATGTGATACATAAATTACTCGGAGTATATTTTTAACTTAGAAAATGTTATAATGTCAAGTTCTGAGATTATTTTAACTAAACATGCGTATTACACGGAATAATTATATATAGAATAATTATCGACTACAGAGCAATTAATTTTTTCTTTTAAGCAACTCGGGAATAAACGGCACAGATATAACGCGATCTTCGAGAGTTTTCAAAATCTGGTAGCAACAAACGCGTTGTGTGTCTATTTGTGTATACGTGTACTAATATTCAAACCAGAAAATAGATATCTGTGATTTATTCAGTCGCAATGCGACAATCGCCTCGCGCTCTATGCATATTTAATGTATCACATGTAACGTGCGTCCTTCTTGCATAACTTCGAAGACATAAGAACTCGCTCGCTCCGCAACGTGAATTGATTGGAAAATGTCGAGCGCAACATCCTCTCGCCCCCTCTCTCCCGTCCCTCCGGCCAACGGTAATATCTAGGATTAAGCGTTAATTACGAGCGAACGATGTCACGGGTCTCGAAAGGGTTGATTTCACGAAAGGAGTGCGACGCGCGTATGCGTGTTCAAGGGCCATCATTCAGACACGTGTAACGCGCGCGTTATGCCTCAATTGCGTGTACGAAGAAGTACACGCTGTTCCGCATTTCGCTGACACTACACTGGCGCTTCACGCTCCGTGGGCTCTACGTGAATAAATGAACGCGACACACGTAAATAACATGTTCCTTGTTTACTACACCGCTGACTTAAATTATAGAATTATGATTTACGATCGCGCGCGCGCGCACGTCCGCGCGGACGTAACGTTGATTTAACGTTACGTTAATGCGTTACGGCAGAAAGGCGCGCACCTTCGCGCGTCTCACATGGAACATTATTATTAGAAATGAGATTAAAAGTACGTTGTAAACAGTGCTGATATTGTAACAGCTGCGGCATGTTCGAATCCTTTATCAGTAACATATAATAGCATAAGCATAACCAAAACTTTCTGCGCTACTGAAATCGAAATCAGTACTTAGGTATGTGTGAGCGCAAGCAAACACGACAGTATCGTAATGTAATCGAAAAACTTTGTAAAACATATTTTCAAACCTTTTATAAACACTTTGAAAGATAACAATACATAACAAAGCGATCGATTATAACATGATGAATGAATAAAAGAAGTCAATATATATTTATTTTACTGTAAGGAATATTATATTACATATGTATATATTATATATATATATATTTATTTATTATAAATAATTATGTTATACTGTTATTAATTGTTAAATAAAGCAAATAAAAACTATAAGAAAAAATACTGCTATCTGCTAGTGTTTTACATTACCTATTTCTGATTTTTATAATTCCACATCTTACATACATTATCTTATCTTATCTTTTATGTACGCTACAAATTAAATTCTTCCTATCATTCCGTTAGATAAAAGTATAATTTCTACAACTTAAGAATATTTAAAAAATCACGACTATTGTTTAAATTGTCTCTTTGATAATAGAATTGTTACAGCCTGAAAGCTATAATCACTTGCAACAACGCATTATCAAAATGCAAGAAATCTAATCGCATGCGCTCGAATTTTTTATTATTTATACAGTTTAACTAAAAAAATATGTTAAACTTTACTCAAAATCAATTTGTTATTTAATAGATGCATATGTTAATGTGAGCGCTGCTTACTTATAGAATGTAATATTTTTTTTTCTAGCATTTTGTGAACGTCGTTTGAATTTTGATTATAAGCAACTTAATCACAGAAATAGATTGATTAAATGTAGTTATTTTTTATTTCATTAATTATGCATTTAATCTCATACATGATTGAAGTGAGTTTTTGCTTATGTATTATGTAAAACGAGTTCGTGACTTTCGTGATTATTACCCGATATTTCAATGAAACGATATTCTCGACACTAAATTAAATGACATACATATTAAACTTGTTCTAAATAATTAAACCTGTTTCCACTATCAATATTATTGCATTTAGGCGATTGCACGGACAAATTATATTTTACGCGATGAGACTCGCGGTTTCGGCATATTACTGGCAACGAATATCTCGTGCACAATGCATAGAATCCTAACGCGAAGATCGAATTATTCCATTGAGTTCACTATGTCGTACTGAAATAACATCTAAACGGCTGCAAAAAAACTCGTAGATTTCATTTATGTGAGATAAAATCGTGCATATAATAAAATGAGAAATAATTGTAAGTATATATCATCAATCTTCATGATCATATTACGTAAATTTTCATTTATCGTTACTTCACTCTTGTTCATCGATTACAATACTTAATATTCCTTGCAGTATATAAATTTCGATCTGAAAATATCTAATAAATGAGAATTTTAGCGGAAAGATTTTATTTCTGTTCCATTTTCAATATTTGCAATCTGAAAACTCGATCTCTACTTATATCGACTTTAATGAATATGAAGGGATAAAACAATTCCAAATTTAAACCGATATTAATTTTCTCAATTTCTAAATCCGGACTGCATCATCGGAATTTCCAAAATTGCATCATCGTTGCACTTAGGTTGCTGTACAGAGAGCACGCTATCAATGATCATTATCCGCCCATTTAATGAACGGAAAAAAACGAAGCAAAATTAAAAGCAAAATAAAAATAGCTGACTGATAAGCATTGTTGATAGCATGCTTTTTGAATATTTGTAGACTTTGAGTCACATTTCTTCGGGAAAAACTGCGAAGGTGTTCACGACCGTTACGATCGTCCGTCATTTATTACCGAGACATACAATATATCTCTATTCCAGTGAAAAGCAAAAATTACACGGGGCTTTTCCTTTCCTTCACGATCGCGCGGATTCATTGACGTGATCTATGGTGAGTGTCTTCGGCGGGGAATCGGGGACTGCCAGAGTGGGAGATGAATTATAAAGTGCCGTTCTACGAGTGAGAGGTCTTACAGTTACACTTTGCTCAGTTTTGCAGCACCGCGCGTAGCACGTGCGAGCCTTCGCCGGGTCACGTGTGTTTCACCGGAGTGCATCGACAAGAGTTTCATCGCAGAGGAGAAAAGAGGAGAGCTGCGCTCCCCCCAGCCCCAGTGTAACGTTAGTATCATTTAACGAGTGTTTCACGTATTTCACGGAGTCAATCCGCGTCACCTCGGTCGTGTCTTTTCCTCATCCGTCGTTTTGGTCCCCTTCTCGGCGAGACACTTGCGTTATCACGGACATTTAAATTGTTACAACAGTTAACGCCAGTCGCGGGAACTCATCCCGCTCTCGCGGAAAGGGTTTCGGAGTTTACCGGAGCTTATCGATTCGTGTCTGCGCCTACCGCGGGCCCTATCGTGTTTTTCCTCTTTTTTTAACCCCCTTCCCCCCTTCCCCGCCTCGTTTTTTTTGCACAATCTCGTGTTGTAGCTCGGTCGCAATAAATCATACGCGCGTTCGCCATATATGTTCAACAGTTTGATGTGTGTACATTATAAATGGTGGACATAAAACGCGATCGCGTTCGTGTCATTCGTGATTCACGTGACCCGAGGGGGGGGTTTTTCGACGTTACAAAATTAGCGCACGTTAATTAACGTCGGCACGATTTTCGAGGTGCTCCCCTTCCCTTCCCTTCACTCCCTCCCCCCCTTCCCTCCTCCGCCCTCCCGCGCCAACGAAAGGAGTAATACGCGATTTTCGTACGGCGCACGAACGACGAATTATGTAAATTGATTGCGATAATCATTGCGCTTAACCCGCGCCGCGCGACGACTCTTTGTGGCCCCGTATTTCGTTCCTCCGGGCGCTAATGCACGCGCGTAATGGTACAGAAAGGCAGTCGCGTTAATTAGGGATGAATTAATTAACATCGCTCGGTTAATTACAATGCTATTAACTCCTCCCGCTAATTAAAGGGAATATTTATTTATGTTAAACGCCCGCGCACACCTCTCCCTGCTGCGTGCGTGCCGCCGCGGACGAAGGCTTATGATAATGTCGTGATATATATATATAGACTGCTCGTCTAAAAAACAAAGAATGAATAATCGATGCGTCTTAAACGAACGTCGAACGTGAAATATCGAGGCAGACCATTAAAACGACAGACTCCTCGCTTAGAATTAAATGTGAGCATATACGAGTTTTTTCACTTAGCAGGTGTTTCTATTTCTCTCGCGCCGAGTTTCGCGCGCGCCGAAAGGTGGAGTTTACACGCGCGATGGTTTAGATAAAAGTCCCTGACTTCGATTAGCCGGTAACGGATACGAACATTAACCGTCTCGGGGGGGAAAAAAAACCAAAAGCTAGAGATCGCGCGAAATGCGAATGCCATAGTGACAGGCGGCTAGCGAACGCCAATTAAATATGATTTTGCACGATAGTTGGAATTGCGGGCTCACGTGCCGTCATGCGACGCGTAAATCGCGGCTTTACGTGGTTTCGCGTTATTGCGCTTCCATTGATCTGTTAAGTGTACCAAATATCGCAATCAATTTACGATCACGCTCTCGCCGTCGTCTCTTTTTACAATCGACAGGTATATACATGACATGGATAAACGTGACATTTAGAGCCGCAATCGTGATAGAGACATTTACGTGGTGGACATTTTGCGCCACGCTTATATTCTATAATCTAAATCATCAACAGAAACCGATAGAAACAATAGCAAAATTATCTCTTTTGCGGAAAGCGAGCGATTGGCATTATGACAAATAAATTGTATGAAACAACTTTACGAGAGTAAAAATTATCACACACCAACATTCGTGTTGACTCCTGTAGGCCTTTTTTTTACTTTAATTTAAACTTTACAAGAGGTCTAACGTAATAATTATCATTCGGCTGCAAATTCTCTTTACGATAATCATGTATTTGCAGAATGTCGTCCGGCTTTCTATCAGTCGGGCCAACATGCCCGATATCCCATCTCGGACCGAGCCTTGCCGAAGTCTGCTCGGGATCGCAGTTTTTGACGTTCATGACGATTTTGAACACGCTCGTGCAGTCCCAAGAGAAGGTGTCTCAGTCGTGCGAGCGCGTAAGATCGAAAAATCCCCCTGAATACCAGTACGACTTCATCGTCATCGGCGGTGAGTAACCAGAATCTTAATTTGTCGATTAACTCTGAACCGAAGTGCGCGCCGAGTTAGGGAACTAATGACTGAAAATTTTTTTCCGGTAATTCATCAAACATTGTTCGCGAGATTTTTGCGCTGTCACGATTCAAATTACCAGTGCCGATCAAAAACGGCGCCGCGAAAGAATTTAACAAGAAATTTTTCATCATTTTTTTTTGTTTGTTAAATTTCCTAAAGTATTTTAAAATATTAAAATATAAATTTGCGCCAGAGTTCTCTTAAAATACTATTATTTTTGAGAATTATTAATATTCTCGCTGGATTGAGGTAACTTTAAATATCATAAAACTTGAAAAACGAGATCTCTCAGTCACGATCTTTCTAAACGTCGATACACATCGAAGTTCATTTGTCATGTAGTCAAGCTATCTGGCAATTCCTCTAATTGCTTGCATTGGCGCGCATTTTTTCTCTCTCTCTCTCTCTCTCTCTCTCTCTCTCTCTCTCTCTCTGATGAAGCTATCGTTTTAGAAACTGTTGTTTCCACAAAACGATGGCAGAAACTATCATCCGCTTAATTAAGGATAAAAGCGTAATTATTTGCCACGTTGAAAGGAAGAGTCCGAGGAAAGTAACGGCCGGTGATTTTCTAATGGATAAGTGAAATTGATCGGAGTAATTGGAATGTATCCTTGTCTGCACCGCGCGTGATCGAATAACCGGTTCGAGTATTGATCCGAACGCATTGATAACAATCTAAGCCGGCCTTATTAGTGTAACGAGCCGGTGTTTTCTGTGAAAATGTGCGAACAACAAATAGCTTCGGTCGATCAGCGTCGCGACCGTTTCTTATTCGGACGCGACTTTGCGAAAGGCTGCCGATTACGACAAACAGACCAAAACGGTTCGGCGCTCACAGCGCAACGGAAGCTGGACGATGCCGGCGCGGATCATAAATTCCGTTCATTATGTGTGAAAGTCAGCGAACCACAGATTGGAAATAATAAAATAACCGCGTAACCTTCAAAGAGATAGAGGCGGCTATATGCGACGTGTCGAAACGCTGCGTCGCTTCGTAACCCATTTTTCTTTACCCATCCTTTTTTCTCCTTCCAGACAATGGGAGACTAAATTCTAAAAACGGGAAGTGAAACGAAACGCATAATCTATAAATGATGGAGCGTTAATAACTCGGGCAAATGTACACGGTGATTATTCGTAGTACTTGCACATTACTGTTTTCCTATTATATCTAGCAAATAGTACTTTGATAATATAACACAATAATACAATAAATGGACATAATCGCGCGCTATCACGCAACGGTTCAATCGGCACACGATATCCACATCAATGTAGCGTAATTGTATTAATGAAATATTTACCGAGGATACATAATTCACCGGGAGAATGAAAAACAACTGATGTTTCGCTCGTAAATTTAGCGACGCTGGCATATATTAAGGGGACAATGATTTCTAACGCACATGCATATGTATATATATATATATATGTGTATGTATATATACATACATATCTATGTGCATGTGTGCATGTATATATAAATATACATTTATTTTACATTTAAATATATATATATATTTAAATGTAAATTTTTTTTTACATTTAACTAATATAAATGTATATGTATATATATATATATATCTTATATATATATACATATATATATACATTTATATTAGTTAAAAAAAAATTTTATCAAACTTTTAACACATGTTACTTGCATGCTACCGCGAACTCATTGCAAACGAACGAGCCTCTCAGCACGGGGAATAATTTTCTATACAATTAATACTACCCGCTGTCGCCCATTGTAAGGGCAATAATGCGTAAACTCGAGAACTCGCGAGTGTTTTCTCCCCGCTGGGGAGAACAAAGGATTAATTGTAAGTCCCTCGACAGCGCGATATTCGTCGCGACTTTCGACATTTACATTCGGTCGGCGAATGTAGTCGTGGAGCCCCGGCCGTGAAGGAAAAAAAAAGGAAGGGACAGAAAGGAGAGGCACATAATTGAATATTTTAGTATGCGGTTGATAAAACCCGTCGCGTAAATTCCGTTCCGGAAATTCGCCGGTCGGGAGCGCGCGGACGATACCGAATTCGGGCGATCGAGCGATCGAAACTAATTTTCTTTGCTTCCCTTTCGGTGATTATTCCCGATAGGACTCCCGGGATATCCGGACGGGAAGATGGAATTTTTCAGTGACTCGACCGGTTATCCGGTCGCCGTATGGATGATCGCGCTTCGCCCCGTGATATCGACCGACCCTCTTGCCGACCCGAATTTTCCCGACCTCGCGAGAATCCTCGCTTACACTCATGTAAGAATATACCGCGCTGCACAGCGCAGAAAAAGAAAACCCTCCACGCAAGACGTAAAGACTAAAGATATAATGAGCGTGGAAAGTCTCTTCGTTTCTCTACGGCATTATTACGATTGCCGCGCTTCTAATTAGAGATACGACACTCTCAAGTTACATTATGTTAAGAATGAGTACGCGCGCATATAGGTTTTTCCGAATAAAACCGCGTGTCGTGCCCGGGAGAGACATGCGCGGATGCAGAAATAAACGCAGCACGGGCACGTACCTGTGTGTGGAATGATTAATCGTCACGGTCGGTGACCGCGGGTGTATTACCGCGGGGGTGAGGAGAAAATATTAATAATACCGTCGCTGAGTAATTAGCGTGATGCTTATTAATTATTCCGTCAATGCACGGTCGGAAGAAAGAAGCTCGTGGAATAATTATAAGGGCGCAATGCTCGAAGCAGAAGTTGGAGGGCCGGTAAAAGGGTCGAGTCGACTGGAAAGGAAAGAAAATGGGTTTTGTCATTATCATTAGAGTTGAGCGGTATACGCTGTCGCGATAAAGCTCCCGCTGAATAAAATCCCGATATGAATAGCGCCGCCGTCGTGACACAGTGTAATTGAAATAATTGCGAAGATGTCGTAACATCTCAGTTAAAAATTATAAATTATGTTCAAAGCGAATTGACGCAGAAGGAGGGGGGCAGGGGGCGGGGGTGGGAGATTAGGGGGAGACGTGGACGCGAGAAATCTCGCGGCGGGAGAACCGAGGCAAAAGCTTATTATTCCAACAGTCGACGTAAAGAATGATGAAGGTGCACTTGTAACAATCCGGAAAATAAGCGCCCTTTATCGCTCCGGGGGTCGCTCCTGAATGTGCAGAAGATGGATTAGAAAATCAAGATAAAACACCGCGGGGGAAAAAAAGCGGAAAGTGAGCAAAATGAATACCGCCGGTGCGCGCCGGCTGTTTATGTGACCTGTAAACATAGTTTTCGTGTAAAACGACGCAAGATCTAAAACCCCGAAAAATCCATCGGAATAACAAATGTTTTTCGCGCAACGTTCGTTTCGCATTCCCATGTGTTGTAAAACGAAGAGAAAGAAAAAAAGAATATATATATATATATATTTTTTTTGCGCTCGTTCCCTGATGAGAAACGAAGAAATACGTATGAGTAAATATATTCAACGTAACGCATTAGCAAATGAAATAATCACTATAAAATGTTTTGCAAAACATTTTGTGCTATAAAATCTCTTTTCCCTGCCCTCCGCAACGCGCCCTCCGCGTAACCGGAATAATGAAAGAGCAGGAAACGTTTTCATGCGTAGCATCCGCAGTAACAATAAATAGACAATTTCCACGAATTGTTCGCGAAAATTTAACAAGCTATTAAAGTACTAATTAAAAAATAATTGGGAATAGTTCGGTTTAAACGAAGCGCTCGGCGAAGATCAACAGTTTCACGCGCAGGGGAAAAGGGGGGTGAGGGGGCTGGGGAGAGGAAGGAGAGGGCGCCTCGCGTGCTCGTCTCGCAGCGAATTCCCGCCTCCGTCGAGCGAAACGGGAAAAAAACATATAAACCTTCCGGTGGCGTTTACATGTTTACCATGGCCAAACACAGTTATCACGAGTCGTCGCCCGTGGCCCACGGGTGGTAATTGTTATTTGTCGTTTACAGGAGCACACGCGGGGTGCCCGGCGATCTCGCCGGCGAAAATGCAATTCGACGCGCATGATCGTTCCTATGCGTATCCTCTCCGCTCGGATGCGATATTAATACAGACCGTTATTTATTCGGTCGCGAAGCGCGTGATTATTGCATCATTAATTTAATTACCGCCCCCGTGCCGCGCCGACCCTGCGTCTCTCTCTCTCTCTCTCTCTCTCTCTCTCTCTCTCTCTCTCTCTCCCTCTGTCCGGGGGTCCCCCGTGTCACTCCTCTGTCGAAACCGCCACACGTCCGACGCGCATCGTCGCGTCATTACACCGACGAGACTACGTTCCATTATTCCATACGTTCCTGTCCCGGCCTGTCGGGACATATAAATCCTCGAAGGTGGCAAAATTCATTCGAAGAGAGAGAGAGAGAGAGAGAGAGAGAGAGAGAGAGAGGGAGGAGGGAGGGGACTGGGATGCAGATCGCCAGCGCGAGCGATGCGGAGAGGACGGCGCATAATGTGATTTAAACGGCTCAACGAATTTTATACGCTCTTTGCATTTCGGGATAATTCGTACCGGCGACGCGATCGCCCATGCGCGAACGCGCTCGCCCGTCCTGCATTTTGTTTATACATTTTGGCGATCTGTCGCGGCTCGTTAATACGCGACGACGGCTGCAGCGCGAGAGCTGGTATTGGCGTATTATTCACGAGGGGCCGAAACGGAATGCCGAGATGGAATGCGATCGGTAATTTATAAAAGAGAGACGTCGAGAGAAATGCTGTTTATTATATAATTCGAAATTCCTTGAAAAGAAAAAAAAAGAATAATACTAAACAAATTAATTAAAAATAAAAAAAATACAATTGGTGCATGCAGCAAAAAAATTGTCGATCTATATTATTTTTATCGGACAAATAAAGATCATACCAATAAAACTGCTTGGTATTTTCATGACGGATGCATAGCACGGAATATATCGTATGCGGACTGTTGGACTAATAAGTATAAGCC